CATTTTGATAAATAGCACGTTGTCCAATAGGATTATTTTGAACAATAGACTGTAAAACCCACCAAACAGTAAAAAGAATATCTTCATTTTTTATTTCTAAAAGAAGTTTCCCTAATTCATATTGACCATTCATTTTAATAAAATCATTTGCATTATCAATACTTTCTACCAATTCTTCAAGATTATCTAATTCAACTTTAAGTTGCTCTTCACTTATTTCTGTCTTTTCACCTTTAGATTTTTGAGTTAAATACTTATCACTTTTCTCTAAGATTGAATACATTAGTTTAGCATCACTCTCAATTGAGTCCATTACCTTTTTTAACCATTCCATATCTTCTTTTGATGCTTTGGGTCTATTATCATCTCCTTTAAACCCATATGAAAGACAAAAATTTAATAATCCATCATTCATATTTTCAAAATCAACTTTTTTCGATGTTGATTCATTCCATATTTTTCTATCATGTTGGTTATCGTGTGAGTCAGACATTTAATGATTCATTTTAGTTGGTGGGTAGTATTTAAGTAAATAGGTATTGAAGTTAGTGACGTATTTGTACAAAGAAGGTACGTAAGTGCCACGTTTATTGAATGTTGAATAACAAAAATTGGTATTTTTTGTTATTTCATATGATTCTTTTTTTAGTTTATACTAAATATAAATGAATCAATATGAAATAGAAGTATTTTTAGAAATCTATTTAATACAATTAAACCATGCAACAAGAAAATGGCAACTGTATAATTGTTACTCCTGAATATAACATGGAAAGCATTTTAGAAAGACTAAATAAAATTGAAAAAACACTTTCTACCTTACCAAAAATAATTGAGGATATTATTTCCTCTTGTTTGAATAAATATCTGATTATGCCTGAAGATTATGCTAGCTCCATGAAAAGGTTATCTCAAATGATTAATGAAAAGGAAGTATCTCAAAAATCTTCAAATGAAAAGAAAGGCATTAAAGAAGAAGAATATTATCTCAAACAAAATAAAGAAGAAAGTAAAAGAAATTGTCCTTCTTTAAGTTCAACTCTTGAAGTTGGAATTGAAACAAATAAAGGTTTGGAGGAGTTATCAACTGATATAATTGATTCAACAAAACAAGGAAATATTACTCTAAATTCTGAATTAGTAACTAAACCAATTACTATTTTTGAAACTCTTCCAGAAAAATCTCAAACGTTTTTTGTTCAAGAAAACTTTGTTATTGTTTATAATGAAAACAAAGGTGTTGTTCGATTAAATGATGAAGAAGTTGTTTTTAATATTTGTAATTACAATGTTAATGATTTAAATGGGACTGATGCTGGTTCAATCCTTGTAGCTACTGATGAAAAACTATTTCTTATTAATAAAGGAGAAGTTGATGAAGTTATTGGTTCATTTACTTCTGCATGTGAATTTAATAAACAAATTGTAACTGCATCAAAGAGAGGATTGAATTATAAAGTTAATGGTAAAGATGTTATAATTAAAAATTTAACATCAAAAATTCAATTAGAAATACCAACTAAAATCAGAGCAAGCAAATCCTATTTATTTGTTCAAGACATTGGAACAAACATTATTACTGTTTTTAACACTTCATTTAAAGCAATTAAAGCTATTAACAGTAAAAATGTTGTTGATTTTTGTGTTATTAATGACAATCAATTTGCAATACTCACTTCTAAATCAATTAAAATCATAAGATTCGCTGAACATACACTAACGGCTGAATATAAAATACCACTTAAAATCAACCAACAACCAATTTTATTGAAAAGAATTGAGTTTGTAAGAAACTTACATGAGCAATATATTGTTGGGCTTTCTCAAGATATGATAACAACCTACAAAATACCAATTGATTTACTTTAACAAAACAACAAATAACTTTTTTTTAGGTTTAAAATTTTTTCATTATTTTTATGTTTTTCATTTTTTTCCTTAATCTTTAGAAATTTTTTATGATTTTTTGTTATTTATCTCTTATTTTTATTGTTTTTCACATTGTCTCTTCTTCATCTCATATATTTTTTAATTCTTTTAATATTTTCATCAGTATCATTATTTTATATATTGTTTGTTCTACTTTATTTTGAATTGGTTATATTATTAATTTTCTACGTTGTTTTTATATTGGAAATAAAATGATTTTTAATATTATCATTAATACATTAAATTTGATTTAATTACATATTAAAAATATTTGAAAATCATAAGAAATAAATAGGTGAAGAATATACATTCAAATGAAAAATAATATAAATAAAATAGAATAAAATGAATATCATTAGCTTTTTATTTTATT